TCAAGACAAGAGAGACTCGACCCGTTGATGTTCGCAGACTTCCAATGGATGCCCCTTCCCTCGACCGGTCGATTGCCGAAACCGCATTGCAACGCCCTCATGGCACAATTGCGGGATTACTTGCACACTGCAGTACCAACTCCGTTGATGGATGTCGGAGTAGGGGTTGTTGACCTTCGCGACTACCTTGCGAAGATCGATCGTGAGTTCAAGATACAACGCTACGCCACCAACGACGCGCCATTGTTGTACATAYGCATTCAGATCGGAGAAGCGACCTGCAACGCTTTGATCGATTGCGGAGCTGCTCGCAACTATACGAGCCAAGATATCCTGGTACGCACTGGCCTGGGCCACACGTTCGAAGTAAGTCGCAGCCCTCGCAAGTCATGTTGACCGACGGACACACGCACAAGTCAATCGACTGGTGCATTGATTTCGTCCCCGTGTACTTCGCCCCACATGCAAGCGAGGCCGTGTCCTTCGACATTCTGGACACCAAGTTCGACATGATTTTGGGCATGTCGTGGCTGCAAAGGGAGGACGACCCGGTGAACTTCTACCGACGCACCGTTCGCACTCGTGATCGGAACGGAGTACTAGTCCCGTGCACGATGCCCCCTCCTCACCCTTAGATCAGTTGTCACGAGGTGTCCGCCGCGAGCATTCGAGCTTCCATCACCCGGGACGACATTGAGGAGATGGGTGTGTGTTTTCTCCACGCCCTCCCTCCCCATGACATCCAATCATGCACGCATCGATGGACCCACGCTTCACCGAGCTTCTAGACACCTACGGTGACGTTTTCGAAGCCCCGCACGGAGTAGTACCGGATCGGCTAATTCGCCACGAGATCATCCTCGAGGCCAGGGCCGTACCTCCGCATGGTTACATCTACCGCATGATCGAGGAAGAGTTAAGTGTGCTACGGGCACAACTCGACGGCCTTCTTGAGAAAGTTTGGATTCGGCCTAGCTCTTCGCCATACAACGCTCCCGTTCTTTTCGTCCGCAAGAAGAACAAGGACTTGCGGTTGTGAATCGATTATTGCAAGCTCAACGCGCAAACCGTCAAGAACGCCATCTCTCTTCCGCGCATCGACGACCTCCTTTGAACGACTGGGCGGCACAAAATGTTTCTCCAAGCTTAACCTCAAATCGGGATATCACCAACTCGAGATCCGGTGGGAGGACCGTTACAAGACTGCATTCAAGACGCGATATGGGCATTTCGAATGGTTGGTTATGCCTTTTGGCCTTACGAATGCTCCTGTCACGTTCCAAGTGGCTATGACAACGGGGTTCCGACACATGCTGGACAGATTCATACTCATCTACCTCGACGGTATTTTGGTGTGCAGCCGGAGTTTGGACGAGCATGTGGAGCACCTGCGCACCGTTTTGGAGCGGCTACGACAAGCCACGTATAAAGCCAACCGCGACAAATGTGAATTCGTGCGGCAGGAGCTCGAATACTTGGGCCATTATGTGACGCCACAAGGCATCCGTCCGCTTGCGGACAAGATTGAGGCGTATGGACCGAGCTCACCAACACCACGGAAGTTTGCTCATTCATGGGGTTGGCAGGCTACTATCAATGCTTCATCACCGGGTGCTCAAGGATTGTCGCACCATTAACGAGATTACAATCGCCAAAGGTGCCATTCGTATTCGACGACGACACGAGCCGGTCATTCCAAGCACTCAAGACGACCATGCTCATGGCACCCGTCCTTAGCATCTACAACCCGACCTTGCCAATGAGAATGACAACCGACGCCTCTGGCTACGGTATTGGGGCAGTCTTGGAACAACACGATGGCGATCCCGGGGAATATTTCTGCCACAAGTTGGCTCCCATCAACTGACTTGATGATGCAAGGAAGAAGGAGTTGCTCGTGTTCGTGATGACGGCACTTCCTCCTTGGGCGTCTTAGGTTCACGTGGGTCATTGATAACAGCCCGTTGACCTACTACAAGACGCAAGATACGGTGAGCAGCACTATCGAACGGTGGATGTATTTCATCGACCAATTTGACTTCACACTTTCCTCCTCGTCTGATCTTCCTCCTTTCATCTGTGTATGCTTGGAGCCTGGTGCATTCCTCCTGTGTGTAGCGCCTGGCCCTTCACACCTTGCGATGATGATGATGTATGTTTGGTCTGCATTTCGACATTGATTGGTCTGATCATTGGTATTTTAGCCTTTCGCTGCGCTATCCTGTACTATGTGAGAGAGGTTGGTTCTTGTTCTGGTCTGCACCTTTACGGTACGCAACAGTTGCCATCCTGCGAAGGGCTGCATCTTCCATTATTTAAATTTTAAACCACAGGTACTTGGCCCAGCTATAGGCCGCGGAAGAAAAAAAAAACTAGAGTACAAACGTTTTCAGGCTGATGAATTTGGGCACTCCTGTAGTGGCCGGTACGTTTCCTAAAATCTTGGCTCGTTTGCGGGCACGACTTTACGAAATACTATCCACTACCTCCTGCGAAATCGAGCCAGTAGGTAACCTGACCAGCCGTGGCTCGATGTTGCATACCGTATAGGTGCAGACCAGAACAAGAACCGACCTTTCAATACAAAGTATAAGATAGCACAGCGGAAGACTTAGATACCAATGATCCGAACAATCAATATTGCAATGCAGCCCCAAACATACATCATCATCATCATTCCATGGTGTGAAGGGGTCTGGCGCTTCACACAGGAAGACTGCGCCAGCCCCAACCATACACAGACGAAGGAGATGGGGGTTAGACGAAGAAGAGGGGAAGATGGG